AAAAGTTATACATATTTTCTACAGTCACCACAAGTATAAGTCCAGGTCTGTTGCTGGAAGCTGTGGCACGCATACAAGCGTCAGTGTCTTTATTTCTTCCTATTTCTGATTTGGGATTCCATCCATTGAAAGCACATCAAAGAGGAGAGATCTGCTGGCAGAGCCGAGAGCCAAAGCTAGCCTCAGAGCTGGGTCCGAGCAGAAAGTGGCACAGCAGAAATCACAAAGCTGCCTCAGCAGGCAGGTGATGCTGGAAGCCTGATGACATGTGACTACTTGCAGGTTCCCTAATAACCCGGTAGTTGTAGAGAAGAACATTATTGGTGATGACACTCAGCAACTTCGAGCCTGAAAAACAGTAAATTATTTAGCTGAGCGTACGCTCCATTCTCTGAATTTCAATTACACAGCTGTGGAGAGAACAGGCCGATGTTGAAATGTAAAAGTGGATGGTGCTGCATGACTAATATACCTGCTCAGCTGCCTGGTTCTCTCCCCTCCCTTAGCAACAAAAAGATGGTTTTCCAGTGAAGCAGTACTAGTTTTGTGTGTCAGTATGTGTGTGGGACAAAAACGCAGCCAATCTGTTCAGCCAGGCTTTTGAAGACTATTTTTTCATGTTTCTTGTGTGGCATTAGTTTCATACTAAATGTAGTGCTCCACATTTGAGAGAGAGAGAGAGAGAGAGAGAGAGAGAGAGAGAGAGAGAGAGAGAGAGAGAGAGAGAGAAAGAGAGAGAGAGAGAGAGAGAGAGAGAGAGAGAGAGAGAGAGAGAGAGAGAGACCCATGGCAGGAATGACATTTGAAAGAAGCTCTCATGCTGGCACAGTTCGAGTTGCTTTATAGGGATTGGCAAAATGATACACACACACACACACACACGCCTCCTGGATGTTCAGGGCAATCTGTCCATCTGTTAGTTTGTCAGTTGCATGTTATCTTTAGTAAATGGGGTTAACAGCCACCGCTGTGTTAAGAGCAACAGGGATAACAAGTGCTTGTGCCAAGAAGAAAGACCGGCTCGAGCTGAGAGAGCCGAAGAGACATCGGCAGTAAGGAACAGTGTGAGAGAAGGAGGACACATTATAGAAAGTGTAAAAATTCTCTGATTCAGGTCCTTTGATTGAGGATAATGGTTTGCTACCCTGCTGAGTTGTTCTGCACTGAGCCAAGAGCAAGAAAAATAGAGAGAGCAGGAGGGGGGAAATGGGCACTGGAGTAGCTGAGAGAGACACAGAAAAAGAGAGGTAATTTATGAAATGGCAGCAGGATGAGGTAAGAAAGGTGGTAGAGGGCGGAGAGGGGAAAAGGGAGTAGCAAGGAGGAGAGCTGAAAAGAATAAAGTGTTAAAAAACACAGGTAAGGTGCAATTTATGAAATATAAAGAGGGGTATTTTCAGATTGCTGACCCAGAATCAGTTTTTTTTTGACAATCTGGTTCATTTTAGGAGGCAAATGCATGCTTTTTGCTAACTAGGTGTACACTAGTTTTTGTAGACTTGAATATGCAGTTTATTTCTGAGCTCATCTTCATGTAGAAGCTGAATTCTGCAGCGTTAATTGGAGTCAAAGCTGCTACAAACAGAGAACGAAACATGTGTTGGCACTTTGGATATTTCTGCGGAGCTGTGGCAAACACATAAAAACAAACTCATCATCAACATAACTACATCCGTTTTGCTTCTTAATATAGTGATATTACAAATGTAAAATCACCTCTGCCACTTGGAACAACTAAATGTCTAACATCTTTCAAATGAACTTCAAAAGTGACTGCTTGTGCAAGAATCCATTTAACTGCTACATAACATCTTTGCATAAACCCATGCCAAAGAAATCACTTACACTTTCTGTCATAGAACTTTAATTCATGTTAATTTACCATATGGCCCATTTTTGGTGGAAAACTGCCATCTATTAACCTTAATATGCATAATCAAATCATCCTGTAGTAGAAATCTCACCCCCACCTCCTCATTACTGCCCTTTTTCCTGCTGAGCTCAGCGTGCTGCTGCTCTTACTAATGCTCAGTCAATTACTACTGCAGGTGCTGAGCCTAAAAATGGGGTGGAGTGTGAGTGCGTGTGTGTGCGTGCATGTGTGTGTGTCTGTATTAGAAGTGCGTTTAGGGTGTTTTTTCTTTGTGTGTTGATATTCCTGCACTGTGTTTTTGCCAAAGAAGTTCTCTCAGGGAAATAAGTCAATAAGTGTGGTACAAAAGCAAAAACAAAAGGGTCAGAGGTCAAAAGAAAAAAAAAGGAAACATTAAAGCAAACTCCAATTGCTAAAGCCTGAAAAACCATACTTGCACATAAAAATACATGCAGGAGATAGACCGGATATCTGCATGACACGATAGTGTGGTTTGCTGGACGAGAATTTAAAGGTTTGGAACACTGAAAACGTTTTTTAATGAATATGTCTGATTATAATAATTCATTCTGAGTTTTTCATGCAGGTTGAATATGAAAATAGTCTCCTACACCTATCTGCTGCATTAACTTGTGATGAAAAATAGACTTTGAAATGCTAGGATTTGACAAGCCTGACAGATCTATGTCAAGCGTTGGCTTGGAATCTTCTATCTCAGCTCGCGACGGGGAAGGTTGTCATTGTAGCATCCAGGAAACAGCATTGAACGTCTCAGCTTGAAGCTAACTGTTAGCATTAGCAACTCAACCACAACCGCAAAAGCTCCTCCAGGCGTTAGTTGTGGAGATAAAACATCTGTGTTGCAGAGCAAATGGAGTAAGTGGTAGAGAGGCGCTGCTGTTATCCAATCTGAGACGAGATGTCCAAATATCAGGAAACGTGACTCCAATTCCTGTTGTCTGCTGCCTCTCTCCTTCAGGAGACTTGTTTGTGCTGATTCTCAGGTTTTAGTTTTAATCCTGCTTCAACACACCTGATTTCAATCAGCAGGTGATGAAACCGGCTTCCACAGAGCCTGATGAGCTGCCGAGCAGGTGATTCAAACGAACCAGGTGTGTTGGAGCAGAGAAACCACTAAAATGTGCTTGATACTGGCACTCCAAGGCCAGAATTGGGCCCCCCTGTGACGTATGTTTATGCAATCCGATAAAGTCTAAGTGAAGGCCTGAGTCGCAGTGAAAATGTAATGGTAAGATTATTTAAGGAACTTGGTGCTGATAAGAGTTGTGAGCGCACATGAGATTGTCTTATAAATGAGAAAAAGCAGAGGGAAACATTATTTGGTGAGTGTAGTAAGAATGTATTAATGTCATGGTTTCCATGTTTGCCACCATCAAGCCACTCTCATAGGCTGTGATGAGCTGAATGGGGTCTTAATACACCTAAATCTATCTTAAAAGGGTATAAACATTTCTTGTATGTAAGTTTTCACCATCCGCATCTCTTTGATATATGCTGATTTGTAAATTATTGGTCAATCTGTCTGCATGATGGAGAGGTGAGTGGTCAGGTGGACATTAGAGCAAAGTCCTTGGGCCCCTGTAGGAACAAAAAGAAAAGAAACTCAGACAGAATATTGTGAGACAGACACATAAAGAGTGAGATAAAGTCTCAGCATGCTTTTTTCCTGTGGTTTTAATTGGACTGGGCTTTGCGGGGCTGCTGCTTTGTCTTTTTCTCATTAACAGTACAAATTAAGAACTTCACAAATCTTTGTTAGTCTGCTTAGCATATTCATACTGGGACTTTCAGTTCAGCCTCCTCTACTTTTAAACACTCTTCAGACAGAGCAGAGTCATTGTTTGCTGCTTTAGTTTTCATTGGCAGGCAGCGTGCGCCCTTTGTTGTGCCGTGAACGCGGTCTTTGTAATGGAAATAACAGCAACTTCCAACCACAGTTTGAAAAACCAAAAAAATGAACACACTGGACTTGAAGTTTTACATCAAAATAACACACACACACACACACACACACATGCAAAACCAGGCATGTCTGATCTCATGACCAGCCATTTGTTTTATGTGCCTTGTGTAAACTATAACACGCAAAAGGTACACTGAAACACTGCATCGAGCTCCTGACAGGACCTATTGTTTGTCCTTGACATTTTCATGCATTTGATGAAAGGCTTATATGAAAGGGCCATATGTTGACATCACAAATCTTCAAATGTAGTGTGTACGCTTTGTTCCCTTCTCTCGTGGCTGACTCGAGGGGCTTCTGTGCTTTGGAAGGACTTGTTGTTAATCAGCCACACGGCTGCATGTTTGAGATGTGTGTGAACATAAATAAAAACACAAAGTGGCGGCTACAGATGAAGTGGAGTGGGCTTTCACAGCCACACTCTGTACTGTAATGTGACACAACACTGAGTGGTGTATTCCTAAATGTTGGGTCATGTTACTTATGTATTACAAACTGTCACTATAAAGTCTAATGTCTGTTTGTTCTCTATTGCCCACATTTTTGTTGTACTTTCTCATGCACCCTTCACATTGGATTAAACCCTGTTTTAACAATCTAAATAACCTTTCAAAACAAAGGTGGATGATGGAAATATCAGAAAACTTTCCATGTAAAAGCAGGTAAAAACCGCGACACTCTTAGTACTTCCCAAATAGGATTCTTTTTGCCATTTTCCACATCTTCAAGCTGCTCTTTATGTCTAAAGCACATTCCCAATGATAATTGTATTACATAACCGTGGTAGCACCTCGCACTGGGCCCAATCCTGGCACATTGGTCTTGATACCACATCAGAAATCCATCAATGTATTAGAGATTAGCACCATTGTTGTAGAGTGATATCAGGATGAGATTGTTCCCTAGGTGTGAGGCCAGCGATGTCACTCCTATTTCAAATTCTCAACAACAAGCTACACAGATGTGCACAAGCCCCACATGAAGGATACACTACTACAACGGCCACCCGGAGAATCTGCAAAGACAATCAGACACATAGCACATTTTTACCATCATAGATGGGGTCATTATGTCATGTGAAAGGAGCATGTGCAAGACTAGTGTTATTACAGTCAGATACTGAAGACTCTGTTTCTTTCACAGTGCATGTGAAGGCAGGGACATGTGAAGTAATCGCTGCTCACCGCTGCTGCAACAAAAACAAGATTGAGGAGAGATCTCAGACTGTCAAATGTTCCTGCTTCCCCGGTCAAGTCGCCGGCACCACTCGAGCGATGCCCTCCTGTGTTGATGGTAGGTTTCTCTTTATGTCTGTGTTTGCATATGTTTTGAATGCATTTGCACATTCCCTCTGCCTGACACATACCATTCTCAGTTATCTACTGTTTTCGCACTCATTAGTTTTCCCTGTGTGTGATAATAGGGTTGGGCTCTAGGTCCATTATTTCAGGCAGAGTGCCATAGCTGTGCTTACATTATGACTCTGAAAGAAATACTGAACTAATGTATACAGTGCTGTCTGACATTTACACTGCATTAGCAGCAGCCTATTTGTGTCTGCTGTGGGTGCAGCACGTTAGAGGAGTCAGTGCGAGTTCATTCCATTGTCTAATGTTAGTTTTTCCTTTTCAGCAGTCTGATTTATTTAAAATATAGCCTCTGCAATTCATTTTGTTGAGTCAGAAGACTTCTAAAACTAGAAGATACAAAAACAAATAATGAAAATTTGAAATTACAACATTTAGCAAACAGAGTTGACATTTTCAGATGAACGAGGCAGTCTGCATTTCTCATTATGCTTCATAAAATAATTTTTATAATGGTAAATTGTAATTACAAATAATCTTATAATAATGAATTAGAATCTGAAGAACCATATCCATATATATATATATGTGTGTGTGTGTGTGTGTGTGTGTGTGTGTGTGTGTGTGTATGGATATGGTTCTTCAGATTCTAATTCATTATTATAAGATGCTTTGATTCATGGAGATGCTCATAATACCCAGAACAAAAACAAGAAACTCCTCTGTCTGAAGTGGTCACAAAGATCAGTAATCAGCAGTAAGAACTAGATGCTCAAGAAAGAATGAAGAACAAGAAGAAACTATTTTTATATTGCGCCTCTCAAGATAAAATCCAGAGGTGATTCATAAGAACAAACAAAAAAATATTGCACATGAAACAGATAGAAAGTCAACACTTCCACATCACCTCTTTCACATTGTGTTTTGTTATCATGAGATTTTTCTAGCCTTTTTAACTTGATAATCTTACTGTGACCATGCTGTTGTATTATTTTAATCATCTTGGTGTTTGTGATCCCAATTTCAAAACTCTGGGTTTTCAGACCAGTTTGTTGGACTAAAATCAACATTTATTCCATGGAAAGTGAACATCAGATACAAACATGTCTGTAAAGAGTTTACTATCAAAGCGTACCAATTAGCAGTTTTCCTTCCTCTTTTCTTGTAGCCTCCATTGTAGCCCAGAAATGGTGGTGTCAGATGCAGCCATGTATGGACAGTGAGGAGTGCAAGGTTTTACCAGACCTCACTGGATGGAGCTGCAGCACTGGCAACAAAGTCAAGACCACAAAGGTTGGTGTGCACAAATTTTGTGTGTTTTTCTGTCTTTCCTGTGTTCTATCCTCTTTAACACGTTTCCCTATTGCACCAAATAACTAATATCTTCCTTACATCACATCAACAACTGCTCATCCAGATCCAGGTTGTGGGGGGACAGCAGCTGTAGCAAGGAAGCCCACCAGCTTCTTCAGCAGGACCCCAAAGCATTTCTGGAACATCCCAGTATAATAATACTTTGTGGAGTTCAGGTCTAACCTACTGCACGTCACGAGGACCAGACACCTCTTTTGTATAAAGACTGAGTGGTCTCGAAAAGGCAATCCATACCATACTTCTCGAGTTCCCCCAAATCTACAAAACACAAAGGATTGGTTAGTCAAACTCCCATGGCCTTTTCAGCAGCCTAGAAAAGGTCATGAACTAGTTGATGGTTCCATAGCCAGGATGAAAACCATAGTGTTGCTTCTCAGTCTGACATTCTGCCAATGACTGAACCCTCCTATCTAGAACCTCAGTATAGATCTTTCCTCAGAGGCTGAGGAGTGAACCTCAGTATAGATCTTTCCTCAGAGGCTGAGGAGTTTGTTCCCTCTGTGGTTTCTTAAAAACAGGCACTGCCCCCAATGTCCAAGGAATGTTGCAGAGGCATGTTAGGTCAGAGAGTCCTATAATATATAATGCCCTGAACCACCAGGGCAGATTTCATTTATACTGTTGCGTAGATGTTTGACTGTCTTAAGACACTTCTGCCCCCATGACCGGTCGATCTGTCTCCAGGTCTCTCAGCTGTGGTTCCTAATTGGATTACATGTTGTTTGGATTGAGGCCCTCCTCAAAGTAGTTCTTCCACCACCAGACTGTATCCTCAGTTGACATCAGCAGCTCTTCATCCCCACTGTAAACCACATCATTCTCTTTTTATCCAATATCACTCTTTTTATCTTCTAGTTCTCATCTCTTTGCTTCCACTTTTTTCCTTTTGCTTTTTCTATCTTGGATAACATCAAACATTCTCTGCAAAAAATAAGGTCATCAAGAAAAGGAGGAATAATGCACACACACACACACACACACACACACACACACACACACACACACACACACGCAGAGTTACTAAACATGAAAAGTTTAAATTCCCTTCACTCTCACTTGCTCTGTTTCTCCTTTTCTCAATGGCATGCCATCTGACGTGATGTAAAAAGAACTTGTCAAGTTGAATTCACGATAACATCTAATGTCCTCGAACAGTTGTTACTCTCACAGTCCTCCATAATACAGTTTGTTTGGCATGTGGTACAGCCCCTTCTTCCGGGATTTTCTTGTACTCTGAAGTTTTGCCTGGTTTTTATTCTCAGAATGTGTGAGATTGGGGAGTTATGTGGGTCTACGATATGTTCCAACAGCACCTGTTGACTCTTGGGTTAGGGTTGCTTCACCTGAGCAGCCTCTTTTTGTGCTTTGCCGCTGGAGAAAATTTTGTGTGAGACTCACTTCCTGTCAGTGTTCAAGCCTCCATCCTTCTCCCTTCCTTCTCAACTTCCATTATTCATGGCTGGGTGCAGACCTTTGTTTTCTCCCTAAATAATTGATTGAAGGCGTGGTCAGAGGAGACTCAGGAGTGCATCTCTTTGAGTGGAAGTGAGGGTTGAAATGTGGCTCAAGATATACAATATACTCTTTCTCTGCAGTTGTGACTTTCTCTAAAAATCACTCAAAGGCTGTCTCAAGAGTGCTGGAAACAAAAACTGAATGATTAGGGATGGCGTCTCTATTTGCTTTGCTCTGTTCACATAAACCCAAGCAAAATGAAGAATGTCCCTCAAACATGTTTATCTATATTTCAAATCCTATTTACTGTAAGCACACCTAACCAAAAACCCATTCCATCCCAACCCTAACCCTAATTACATAAAAAGAAAGTGTAGCTCTAGAGATAAAGAAATGTCACTATTTCATAGATAGACTGATTTGATATGAAATATCTGTACTTTGTACATTTGTGAGGGTAGTTTGGAAGTTACTTGATGTATCGTAGCTCAAGTGTTTTATATTTTTCATCCCCAAAGTGCGCATTTATAAATTCCTGCACAAGATCAAAGCAAACCAGTGTCAGCCGGGCATCGCATTATCATCGACTCCGTCAAAGCTCAAAAGAGCACAAATATTTGCTGTCTCCTGCATTCAGATCTTTGATCAATGAGCTGCTCTGGTTCATTCTTGTGTGTTGTGCCTACATTATTTGAAAGTGTTAGCTGATGTGTTTGCCCGATGATGAAAAGAGTGATTTTCCTTTTTTCTCTCCCTCTGCTCTGGTGTTGTACGCTGAGGTCAAGATGCACAGGCATCCAGATCAATAGCATCGAGCATTCTCTTATAGTCCCATTAAGGCCCGCTCGTAAATTGAAATTGACGATGGAAGCAGAAGAAAGAGGATGAAAGAGGGGGAGATGTGGGAAGACACAGAAAGGAAGAAAAATGCCGGAGACAGGCGAGAGAGGAAAAATAACAGGTGAACTGGGAGGAGGAAAGTAGATGAAAGACAAAAAAAAACCTTGAAAACTAAGTCACTGAAACTAGTCTTCCAACAACAAAAAACAAAACAAGGATCTGACCCTCTCTTTTTCTCCCCCTGTCCCTGGCAGGCAGAGGAAAGGAGGAGAGTAGGAGGAGAGGAGGAGGGGACAGTAGACAGCTCGATCAATGCCAAATAATATCATATGGATGAGCTGACAGACATGGTCACAGTGCCAAGCCACTGAGCTGTCACGGGCTGCAAGGCAATTGTGTGCAGATGCACAAAGAGTCACATTAACAGACAAATGAAAAGGTGTCATGTCAGCAGTGCAGGAGTGTTTCAGCGGCTGAACAGGTGCAGCAGTGTGCAGGAATGATAAAGCATTTTAACAAGAACATAGTCTGCAAGCATATTTTGAGAACACAAACAGTAAATCAAGACTTTGTGCAGCTCAGCAGACCTTTTTGCTAGAGTATTAATAACATTTGAATTATGATTAAAGTAAAAAAATTGCAAATATTACCGGCAATGCTACCTGGTTTGTGTATAGGTGTAGTATTACTGTAGTCAAAATCATGGTTCTTCTTATTTGTGGGTGGCCAAACGTGTCTCTCCATACCGCCAAAACACTTGTTTTCCAATTGATTTGACAAGTTGTGATTGGTGGATATAAAGTGCAAAAATCTTTCTTTTTCCTTCAGAGAGACTTTTGTATTTGTAAAATTATACATGATTATCATCTTACCATTGCAAATGACTTCCTGGACAGAATTTATGATTAGCTAATGGCTAGCAGAGTGCCATTGTCTTACCAAAGCCCAAAGGAATAACGACAACTTGTGCAACATTATTATAACAGTTACACCACCGTCAAACGTGCTATTTATTTAGGCAGATTGTTTTTCCTGCTGGACGTTGCGCTTGTTTGAACCAGACGTGTTACCTTTTGCTGCTGTTGGGGATGTTTTTGCTTGCAGTCATAGGATAAAATTTGAATAACCAGTTAATGCATAATGAACAGCACCATTAAGGTTTTTAGAATATTTCCACCAACCACAATGACAGGGTGGAGATTGGAGCTGCTTTAAGATGACAGCAATACACTGGTGAATGTTCTCAGTCATCTAGGTCATGCTGATCCAAGTGGGGTTTGTATGAAGGCAACTGGACTTCTTTTGGTTTCTTGAAGACGTTTTGCTTCTCATCCGAGGAGCTTAGTCAATTCTGACTGGAATATGGCAAGCTTATAAACTCTAGCTGTCTGTTGTGATAGTTTCTACTAGTTAAGCAACAATAAGAAAAAAAGAAAGAAAATTATCTTTTACATCAAGATAAAAATCTCTAGGCACTTCACAAGAACAAATATTTTTAAAATATACAACAACAAAAAAAAAAGAATAAAAAATATAACAAAGAGGAAAAGTAAGACATTCATTGTGATAAAAAATTTTAAGAAAAAGAAAAAAGAAATTAACTAAGAACGAGGGAAATCCATAAATCCCGGGAAAAGGCAGAATCGGCAGGAAGAGCATAATAATTAGTTGTCTATGATATTATCTCCAATAGTTTAGAAAGTAATCATTCACAAATGTTACAAAGAAAACATTATGAAATGTCTGAAAAGGCCTTTTAGCAACTCACTAATTGTGGCTTTACTCTTAGTAAGTTTACCTCCTGACCACATATTTTGTCACATAGTTAATTAGGTTGTTAACTAACGAATACACTGTTGGCATGGTGAATGTAACAGCAATAGGCTGGATGTCTACATGGCCACATGAATGGTCAATGTGTAGCAAAACATTTAAAATACAATAAAGAGCTAAATATGGTCAATACGGGCCCATGAGCAACAGTCGTACACTTGCTGTGTACATTACAAAGCAAATCCTATCTGTCTAAATTAGCTCTTATTGAGCAGCAGAAACTAACAGCACCTACAGGGATTTTGATATTGCACCTGAAAGCTCAGCTGGAACAGAAACATAAAAGTGTACATGCATTGCTGAACTGGCATGACAACAAACCAGCTGACTCTTTGATCAGGCGCAGTTGTTGGAGCCTTCTGCAACTTGAGCCTGAGGGATGGACCCGGGAAGGGTGGCCTCAAGCCATATAGAGTAGACACATTAGAGTAGTTTCAACTGTCAGCTTGAACGAAGATCTCTCAGCATTGGCTGGCCTTTGCTTTCTGTTATCTGGCACACCGTTTGCTGGCTGAACAAAAGAGACTCCATCAAGAAATAAGAGAAGAGGAAAAATATGTTGAGGCTGAAAAAAATCTCAACATAGCTCTGACTATCTTCCCAGGGTAGAACAAAGCTAGCAGACTCTTGATTTAAAACTCTGACTTGAAGGTTTTATAAGATTCATATTAATTTATTATTATCCTTCTACATCATGTTAGAAACAGATGAAAACATAACGACTTGAGCTTGTCTATGTAAAAAAATAAGCTTAAAATGTAAATAAGTAAGTAACCTCTGTTTGTGTAGCACCTTTCACAGATAAAAATCATAAGGTGCTTCACATTAAACACAATATAATGCAAGAAAATAAACAAATATACCATAGCGCAAAGTGCAGAGGATGGCTCAAGGATCAGAATTTGTGAGCCTCACAACCTCAGAAGCTGTTCCTAAGCTTTGTTGTTTAGACTTTGAGGCTGCTCAGTCTTCTGCCTGAGGGAAAGAGGGTGAAAATAGTTCATGAGCTGGGTGCATTGGGTCTGATGTTATGTTCATTGTTGATCTTCTCCATCTATCTCAGTTAGTTAATATTGCTGTTTTTATGTCATCTGTCTGTTAAAAAGTACCCTGGTTAAAATATCAAGAGATCATTTGACTAAAACAGTCCGGAGCTGAAAGTGAGATTTTGTGACTTAAGTCTCCTTTCTATCAGATGTGAAAGCGACCTGTAATCTAATAGCGATGTTTTACCCGCAAGCTCCCTTCCAACCGGGAGCGTTTCAGACATGAAATGGGAACGAAAGCGTTCAACACAGCAGATCCTGCAAAGTCACAAAATCACGGGAGAATTGCATCACCACACATGGTTTCAGACGTCCACTCGATAACCAGAAAGGAGAAAAAAACAGCTGCATGTATCCAAAGAAGGTCTAAGGTTTATTTTCTGTTTTGTTTACATCGGCTACAGGGGTTCCACAAGAAATGTCATACTGCATGCGACTTTTATTTTTAAAGTTTTCAGATCCTTTACACTGATTTTGTGGTTGACTTCCTGTCTGCCTGGCTAATAGCCGTAAAATATATTTCACGGCCATTTCGCTGCATTTTCACGTCCGATGGAAAGATGACTTTATCCATGATTTTAATGCCCGCCACCTTTGTCTTGTGTACAGAATTCATACATATATATTTTTTTCTTCTTCTGTTGTTTTAGGTGACCCGATAGTCCATCCCAACATAAACAGTAGGAGGAACCGATGGTGGAAGTTCTTTCACAACACAACAGACTTTTCATGATTCAAAGACCTTCACTAAGATGGATTTCTATGAACCGGTAAATGTTCATTTTTGTCTGAGGACAACCAGGACTTGGCAGCTGGAGAGACAGGACTCTTACCCAGCTAGCCATCAACGCTGAACACTTTCCTGGCTCTTTGACCACAGAGGACTACACTACCCACAATCCTTTAATGCTACTAAAAACATGAACGTGAACTATGACATAAGCATAGTTAGATGACAGTAAAACAATCTCTTTACAAAAACCTATATTCTTCATCTCTCTTTTTGGCTGACTTGTGTTCCAGATGCACACCAGGAATGAATGGACTCTGGATTTTTCAGAGGGACTTTTTATTGTTTTTCTTTTTTGAAGAATTGTTTATTGCAAACGTCACAACAAAAATGCTGTTCCAGAATGCTTGCCTCATGAAGTCTGGGTGACATATTCAAGTTTAACTGTGCCACATGCAGTCTGCTTATTGCTGTTGAAATGACTCTTAGATCTGGAAAGGGTTCTCCTTTCTTTTTATTTAAAACACTATAATATGTATTTTCCTTGAGTAGTTTGTGGCTCACCACATGCCATTTTTTTAAATTCAAATACAGTTTTTCTGTTTTGTTTTTGCTTTTTTCCCACAAAGAACAACATCTTTTCAGGGGTGAGGTTAGACTAATACAAAGTAGATGTTATGGTATATTAAAGCGTGTAAACGTGTAAAACAATGTCAAGGGCGCTACAAATAAAATTATGCTCTACTGGTTTTAATATCTGTGTTTTTAAAATGCCTGTTATAACAGCTATTGAGTACATGTGTCAGTATTATATGAAATGAATAAAACCTTTCAAAAGAAAAGTGTTTAGTTTGTTTTGGTTTGTTAAAGAAGCAAAACACAAAACAAACAAGTTGTTGAATAGTTGCAATACGAATAGAAGAAGGAGGAATGAGCCAACATTGACTATGTTAAAACCGTTAAAGGTGCAGTTGACTGAAAACCCAATTTTTAAATGTTTATTTCTGATTATAATCGGTCACTCTAAGTTTTGTCAAGCAGGCTGAACATGAAAATAGTCTCCTACACCTATCTCCTGCATTAGGTTCTGATGGAAAATAGATGGTGAAACTCTAGGATTACAAAATCCTCACAGATCTACATCACACTGTGAATTAGCATTCATGGACTCACCAATCTTGATTCACATTGGGGCCCTTTTTTTTTGTTTTAATGTCTGGTGATCAACAGCAGATGTTAAAAGCTAACCATTGGCATTAGCAACTTCACCTCATAGCAGAAGCTTCTCCAGGCTTGTGTTATTTGTGGAGATAAAGCATCAATGTTGCTAGTCAGTAGTAGAGTTGTGTTGCTGTTATCCAATCCAGGGTGAGGTGTCCAAATATCAGGAAACAAGACTCCAAATTCTGCTGTGTTAAGCGCTCCTGTGATGGTACAAACTTGGCCCTGCAGAGCCAGGGGTTTGTGGGCTATTTTGTGCCCTGGGAACTGCCTGCAAGGCATTCATTCCTACTAGAGATCACTCCAAATGTAGTGATTAAACAATGAATCCACGCGTTTAAATTGAAGCAGGGATATGTCTAAAAGTGGGAATCTTGTGTGTCCAGGAGAGAGCAGAGTGCGACTCTGCTAGTAGAAGCTAACTGTTAGCATTTGCAGTTCCACAAAATGGCAGAACTCCTTAAGGCTTGTATTGTTTGTGAAGACAAATCCTCCGTCTTCAGCTCACCTCTGCTCTGACTCACTTCTAGTTCCTGCATTCATTCATACTAGATACCACTGCAAATGTATTGATAAAAACAAGTGAACTTAGTCCTTGTAGCTAGAGCAGCCCTCACCCTCACACCCCACCCAACAACAAAAATGTAGTATCACTTATGAAAGAGCAATGAAAGAATTAGGACTGCACTTTGCTGAACTCATCCAAAGGTACGATTAATTCGGTATGTGTGGTAAATTACTAATTACTTAGCAGTTGTTAATAAAATAAATAATGTTCACTCCATGATTAAACACTAAATTGAGAGGAAATGTCTTATATTAATTGCCGCTTTGGGGAAATAGTTTAATTCAGACCAGAATGATGAGACAAATTGTTGCTGTCTTAAAACAACTTTTATCTCAAACATTGGTTGATGTAACTTTTTTCTGTACTCCATTATTCCACCATTCATTTCATATTACACTTTCATTTTGGCAGAAATTAGACTTTCCCTGCCAGAATGGCCGTAATATCCTTCACAGGTGACAACTTGCTGCTAATATTTGTTTATGTTAATTATCATAGAATTCAGTAAAAAACTGTAGGCCTATATTGTAATAATATCAGTGATGTTTGGATTTAAAAACAATGTTTCTGAGGCTGGAGATGTTATGAGTGGTAAGCAAACCCCACTTTCCCATCAGCTGTTCACAATTCCCAGTTCTGACAGTTGAAACCAAAACTAGTGTCTCTGATTTATGTTTCAAAAAGATCTGTTATTGGAGTTCGCTCAATCAGGATGTCTCCACTGACTAACAATGACTGTGTGATTGTTTCCTTTATGAACACATATGAAGTGTGGGTGTCATAATGTGGAAGAAAGTCTTTTTTTGTGTATTCACTGCATTGTTTGGCACAAAACTGTCCAATCCTTCTGTCAGCATAAGCAAAGTTTTATTCCGGACTGTTTTATTTAAAGGTTTGCTTTATTTTTTGGTTTGAACTGTGAAACGCTCATCTTCTCATAGACAGTGGGATCTCTCTGTTTTACAACACACCTAATGCCAAAGTAGCTTTTATTCCTTTATTACTTTTATTATTTAATGAATTTGTGTTAATTCCAGAAAAACAGGAAGAACAAATGGTCCATATATGTTGAGTTATGCATGGCTTATATAAATAACAGTGACCAATACTATAAGCACTGTAGATTTTATCTGACTATTCTTGGTCTTATTGTGCTGGTTAAACAGTGAAATGCTCCATGTCTTGAGGATCTTTACAAATTAGCCATTTTCTTAAGTTAACAATCAAACAAGTCTTAAATATGGCTACAAATACTGAAAATGAAATAAATGGACTGCTATGTTTCTTTCAATTAGTTTGTGTTTGCTATTGCTTTTAAAAGCAATTGTTCACTAATAAAAAATATGAAAGATTTACCTGGAGATACTTCTACAAGTTCAGCTCAGCATGTCATCCAACACATCACCAATGTAAACGATGGAGTGTTCATGTCTAAAAGTGTTTTTTTTATAATTTTTTTTTATTTCAGTGTTCATTCACAGGTAAACGTTCTTAAGAAATTGTGTTTGTTTAAACTAAAACTATAAATGAATGCTATGGGTATTTGTTCAGTCTGTCCCTGCAAACAGTCAATGTCATATGGACGTGCAGATCTTGTCTATATTGAGTCTGTCTGTCCAGCCCATGTCTATAGGACGTCTAGACAAGGTCTTTGCAAAATAACAGGAAAAAAGATTTCTGCATTTTTACCATGAGAATAAATGTTTTTCTTTTAATTACATCTTGTTTTTTTTATGTTCTTTTAATTTTTATTTATTTATGTTTTGGCCAGGAGAAAGATCGGACAGCACTTTAACCTTGAGTCCTGCTGAAAGTCTGTTGTAGCAAACCAAATCCTAACTGAAACATGTGTAACACTGTGTGATGTGGTCAGATGACGGAGGTGAAACAAGATAAAGCAGCTGAAGAAATTGTTGGATGTTTTTGCGTAATTTGTGACACACAAGCACAGATGTGCACTAATCTGCCAACGAAGCCTATTAGGGGTCACCTTACTGTGTCTGCATCAGAAGATTTCCACACACCATTGGTGCCTTTTCCTTAAAAGATTAAAGAGAATAAAACCTACATAAAGATTCTCTTGAGTTCACACATGGGAGGAAAGAAACAATAAGTGGTTTTGAAACAGATGGTTATAATTACAGAAAATAAAATGTGAGAAAATAGTTTTGACATTGGAGTTCGGCAGCGTCTGTCGGAGCATTTCTGCTAACAAGGTGTTAGTGTGTGAAACCGATCATGATTCAAATACCAGCACACCATCAGCTCATTTATAGAAAACCACTTATCTTTAGTGCTGATGCGAGGTATCAGAATTATCACCGTCTGACAATTATGATCATCAGCCCGTGCTGCAAACCATGAACTTTATGATCAGTGACTACCCACTAACGAAACACAAAGCTTACTCAGAGATTAGTCTGCCTGCTTTTCTGGTTAGCGGTGCTGATGAAATGATCTCTGCTCACAACAGATGCTGAAGCAGATGCTACAGACAGCAGCAGCCATGAGATCAGCCATCCTGTTTTGATGCATCTCTGATAGAAGGAATACTGGTGGGCTTGCACCAACGACTATGTGATGTTAAAACACACCCTGATGTCATATATTCTGTTACTGTTATCAGAAACAGCTTTTGAAGAACAGTTAATATTAGTTTTCCCAGAAGTCTAAAATTAGTAATGACAGACTGGTATAGGCATTAACTAAGTAAGAAAAAACAAAGCATGCCATTCGATGAAGAAAATAAGCTGTTATTCAAGTTCAAAGTTCGAAACCACCTTCCAATAATTTGTTTCCAAATCTAGTCCTCAGGCTGTGGAAGAAGGCAGTTTATTTCCTCTCATCCTGCCATGAGAAGATAGGGAATAAAGCAGAAATTACAGAGGAGGAGTCTTGTGATTCTGGTGCAAAGTGATGACCTAAAAATAAAGTGGCTTCTGTCATGAGACACGGAGAACAAAGCAGATTGGAGCAGGTAACAGATGAACTCAAAAGATCAGAGTGACATATAGCTCGACTGTGTGTGTGTGTGTGTGTGTGTGTGTGTGTGTGTGTGTGTGTGTGTGTGTGTGTGTGTGTGTGTGTGTGTGTGTGTGTGTGTGTGTGTGTGTGTGTGTGTGTTTGGCTGTGAGCAAAGTAGATAGTGAGCAAAAATGGCAGAGTGTGTGCATGTGTGTGTGGGACTGATAAGCGGCAAAAGCCTGAGGGGTCCTTTACATGGCGGTCTCAACCTTTCATTTTCCTCAAACACACAAAGGCAGATAACCTCGGCCCCATCTGTGTCACTCATGCCACGGGAAGCCTGGAAAAAGGTGTTCGCCTCCATTTCTTTTCAGAGTCGCTCCTGAATGAGTGTTGATTATGAGTCACAGTGATTAAGGCTGAAGCGATGACTCACACAGATGAGATGACCCCGACTTGCTGCATCATCTGTATGTGGGGTCTTGATGATTTCATCTCTGTGACATCCTCTCTCACCAGCAGGTTGTTGATACATCCCGTCTTCAGAGTTGTGGTCACCGCTGCTGAAATGGTCCCACCAAATCTCCACTGGAGTTATTTATAGAAACTTTAGCTTTACTGGATGTGAATTAGCTGTTCAACCGTTTCAAAAATATGAGATTATCTGTGTGATCTTGCATTTATAATCTGATTTCTGGATATGTTGACTCTAGCTGTAAGGTATTTTTAAAACCAGATTGCAAACCTTTGTTGCTTCATGTAAACTAAACTCGCCTCTCACCTTTTTACATGCTTGCTAATGATAATGACCTGCTGCTAGTGACAGGAAAACATGGTTAAACTCCAGAATTTTAACACAGGAAGGTGTAGCTTTGGAAAATAATAATAAACATTTTGTAGAATGTTTAGGAAAGACTATTATTACAATTGTAAACTAAAGCATCTTCTGGACAAGAAAATGGCTCACAACTCTTAATATCATGCCTTTCACATTCACTTTTAATCCATATATGGTTAAAAAACAGAGTAACACCCATTTTTCAACCTGAATCTAGAGAAATACAATTTTAGTTAATTTTTTGACAAATACAGAAAGGTTTATCTAATGTCGTTGAAGGGCCTCTAATTTGTGACAAAGGTCACATTTTCCCAGCTGGGTCAAGTTGGGTCAGACTGTAACTTTTGGTTCCACAGATTAACCCAGGAGCCATGATGTCTGCTGAATATCATCTTTATCTGCTGCTGTTCCATCCCAGAAGAAAGACACTTCAAGTTTCACAATAATAATAGCAATAAACTCTTTGACTTTATTACTGTATATTATAATCATCATAAATAATCACTTGGTCCAGTAAATGTATTTTAATTACTGATATGACTTATTGTGCTTTGGGTATAATAATGATTATTGTGATATTCGGTTATGTGTGTTCAGCAAACCAGAAGGTCATCTCGCACGTAACCAGCCTCATTCAGAGGGTATCCAGGGTAAAAGTAAACTGCCATCACATGTCTTTGACTCATGACCAACGTTTTCTTGCTGAGAGTGGGCGTGTTCTGAGGGGTTTGTTAAAACAAAATTTCCAGCAGCAAAAGTTCAGTTCATGAACCAACCACCATCCTGAGGTTAAGGGAATGGCCGCCCTGAACCTCCACCTGCTGTTCTGTCACACCGATTGAATAGCTTTGAATAAACGCACCTGTGACCAGCTGAAGCAAAACTCCTTCAGAGTTATTGATTTTTAAGTAAGACGCAAAATTCCTTCTGAGTTAAGACAAACGCTCGACACTGCGTACCCTGCGACATCTCTGGACCAGAGGATTGGTTCTACTCACGTCTTCTCTACCGGACCGAGTACCCTGAGGCTGACAACATCCTCCTTGACCTCCGGATCCACACAGAGGGTCACCTGAATGGGTGAGGTACCACACAGATTGTGTTTGTGATTGTGTTTGATGCTGTTCTCTCTAAGTAACAACCGTGTTAGCTGCATAACCATCATTTCCAACCCAGAATGAGTTCCTCTCTCTGAAAGAAACCTTCTAAGAATCCATTCACGCATCCAAGCTCTCATTTCATTTTAGCTTTCCACCCAGACACAGGTAAAGCTTTTGATACCAAGTTTATTATCAAAGCTGGTAAATTGTCATCCATGAATTGTCATTTTTAATTGTCATTTCTGAATTGTCGTCTCAAATTGTCAAGTTTAAAATTGTTAGTAATAAATTCTTCATTTTTAAACTCTGCCTCATTTTTGAAATGAAACACAGAATGGTGTGTATTTCTGGTTATTGAAAAAGCAAAGATTCCTTTAACTTCTGATTAAATACATAAACTTTTGCTATTAAATTTAATTATCTTAAACTAAACATTAATCTTTGGATTAAATATAGACCAAGCAGGTTGGTGAATGAACTTCTATCGATTATATAAGTATCCTGGATATTTATACATGATATAAGCTTCATATGCTAATTGGCTTGATCATTCTCAGAATCTAACAACTGATAGCAAACAGTGTTGATTCTAGTATGTTGTTTACACGCTACACTAAGTACGTCCTTTTAATAGTTTAGTATTTTCCTCCCTTTCTCCTCTCACAGCCGGCCCTGGGAATAGTTACTGAGAACATGACTGATTTCTCTGCTGGATATTGCTTTGCATTGTGGGTTTATTTATTTATTCATTTATTTATTGCATAATACAATATAACACAGTGAGAAGTTTGCAGAAAAATGTTAGTTTGTTTTCTAATAAGTTTAAGTCAGCAATATTTATTTTAGTAATTAAAGGTGTGGAACACTGAAAAATGTTTTTAATCCTATTTCTGATTAACCCTACACCTATCTGCTGCATTAGCTTCTGATAGAACATAGACGATGAAACTCTAGGATTTGAAAAGCCTGACAGATCTACGTCACACTGTCACTTAACATTCATGGACTCACCCATCTTGTCTCACGACGGGGAAGGCTGTTGTTTGTTTAGCGTCCAGGAAACAGCAGAGGACGTCTCGGCTAGTATAAGCTAACCATTAGCATTAGCAATTTCATCACACAGCAGAACTCCTTCAGGCTTGTGTTATTTGTGGAGACAAAACATCCACATTGCAAGAGAGTTGCGTTGCTGTTATCCAATCTTAGGCGAGATGTCAAAAAGAGACTCCAAAAGCTGCTGTCTGAAGCTCAGCTGTGATGTGGCTCACTTCTAACTCCTGGAAACCAGTGTTGTTATTATTTTTTTTACAAGGCATTAATTCAAACTACTGGAGACCACTGCAAACATATTGAGTAAATGAGTGTTTAACACTTTAATCCCAGAGTTTATCTCTTATTCTCTCTTCTTTTTTTTTTTTTGGAGATGTTCCCTGTCGCACTTCAACCCTCTGGAAGCAGGCGTTGCAGATTTGCAACGTTAAAACCTACCTACCTGGTTACTCCACAAACGTATTTCATGAGCATTTTTTTTACTCAGAAGTACCCCTGAAGGACTTGTTCATCCTTTAATCAAGATTTATTTAGAGCCTTACTTGTCTAATATTGGTAATTGCTAAAATTCAAATCTGCTACAAATCTGTCTGCAGGGGGGGGGGGGGGGGGGTGACACAACAAATTCCCAGTTTGTGATGAGATTTAGCGAGACAGAGGCGAAGGCAGGCCCGGAGTGGCTAATCGGGAGGGTCTGGAGAATTCCCGGTGGGCCGCGCGATGTTTGGGCCGCATGGGCCGGTGCTCTCGTTTTTGTTTTTTATCATTTTATTTTTATTTTTTGGTGCCGGTGTTCAGTCATGGCACTGAGGCCGCCGGGCTGATCTCCTACGCTCCTCCCGGCTGTCTCTACCTGCAGGCTGCAGCTCGGTTTTTTTTCTTTTTCCTCTATATGCGCCTGTGCGCACCACGTGACCACGCAGTTGACGGAAATATGGAAAGTAGAAAGAGCAAGGGTGGC